GAGACGGGGTCCCCCTCTTGCTCAGGCTGGTTTCGAACTCCTGACCTTGAGCGATCCTCCCGCCTCGGCCTCCCAGAGTGCTAGGATTACAGGCATGAGCCACCACGACCGACCTTTATTTTCCTTTAATGGCTGGGTCTTGCGTTGCTTGTTTTCTGAAGCTTTGATTCAATATTGTATTATGTAATTCAGAGCTTGTTGACCTTAAATAACCTTTCCCCACCATTCCAGTGACCTTTCTGTAGTAATTTAATAATTGTTTTTCTATTTCTGAAATAAAACAACAGGTGAGTATGATGGGATTGACCTTGATGTTGCTTAGGGCAGCGTGGTGAATAATAATGGCAGAAACCGTAGCACAGAGTGTTTTTGTCCTTAGAAGGTAAAAACAGTCCTGGACCCATTGTGCAAGGGAAAAAGGGTAACAGGTTAAATTTTAAAGATATTAAAGATATTTGAAGATTTTAAAATAATGAAAAGGTAGCAAATTTAAGATGGCTATTTAAAAAAAATTCAGGCTACCTGCCACAGAGATAGGACAATGTTTTTGAAGAAATTTTACCACGTGTATTGTAGGAAAATAATTCCAAATTATATATGAATAGGAAAAGGAAAAAAAATTAATTGATGTGATTCCTAAATTTTACCCCTCAAAGATAGCCTGGGTTTTTATTTTAGTGTGTTCCCTGCCCCTCACTTCTATTATATTCCTGTCTCTACATTTTATTTATTTTTTATATTTTATTTTATTTTTTTTGAGACTCGAGTCTCACTCTGTTGTCCAGGCTACAGTGAGTGCTGTGGCATCAGCCTACCTCACAGCAACCTCCAACTCCTGGGCTCAAGCAATCCTCCTGCCTTAGCCTCCCTAGTAGCTGGGACTACAGGCATGCACCACCATGCCTGGCTAACTTTTTCTATATATATTATTTGGCCAATTAATTTCTTTCTGTTTATAGTAGAGATGGGGTCTTGCTCTTGCTCAGGCTGGTTTCGAACTCCTGACCTCGAGCGAATCCTCCAGCCTCGGCTCCCAGAGTGCTAGGATTACTGGCATGGTGCACCAACGCCTGGCCTGTCTCTACATTTTAAATTGTCACTGGGCACGTGCTCTCTTACTTCCTTTCTTTAACTTGCCTTTTTGTTTTTAATATGTCATGAATAAATAGGAATCTCTTTCCTCATATTTTTTTTTTTTGAGACAGAGTCTCGCTTTGTTGCCCAGGCTAGAGTGAGTGCCGTGGCGTCAGCCTAGCTCACAGCAACCTCAAACTCCTGGGCTCGAGTAATCCTTCTGCCTCAGCCTCCCGGGTAGCTGGGACTACAGGCATGCGCCACCATGCCCGGCTAATTTTTTATATATATATCAGTTGGCCAATTAATTTCTTTCTATTTATAGTAGAGACGGGGTCTCGCTCTTGCTCAGGCTGGTTTTGAACTCCTGACCTCGAGCAATCCTCCAGCCTCGGCCTCCCAGAGTGCTAGGATTACTGGCATGTGCCACCACGCCTGGCCTGTCTCTACATTTTAAATTGTCACTGGGCACATGCTCTCTTACTTCCTTTCTTTAACTTGCCTTTTTGTTTTTAATATGTCATGAATAAATAGGAATCTCTTTCCTCATTTTTAATGGCTGCGTGGTTACTCCAGTAGGTAGCAGTGCTGTCATTCCAGGTGTGCGGGCTCATTCCTGGGCTACCCTTGAAGAATTTAACAAACCAGACCTCATTCTTTTCAGGGGTAGAAACAGCCTCCATCATGGGCCCGGAGACAGTTTGTTCCTGGCTACTTCTTTATCCACCTCTTGCCTTGCCCCTGTTGAACCTAAAACTCCAGATGGATGTTTTTGTCCTCAAAACTAAATCTGGTTTTATGAGGGAATTATCTAAGGACTAATGTGTGAACTCAACACACTGATATTTATGCATTTAGTAAAAGGCGAAATGAATGGAGAGTTTTGTCCTAAAGAGAATTTATAGGAAAAGCGAATTCTTCAAAAATGGCCCATAACTTTAATGCATGCAGTGTTTATTCAGTAGTGCTGGGTAGGAGCTGTTGTCATTAAACTTTATGACAGAGTTAAAGTAGTTTTCACTCTTAGCTAAACAGAGTTTTAGGTGTGATACTTGAGAATACCTTAAATCTTTAGGTATTTATTCTCCAATTTCGTTTTAATTTTCAGTTCTACTTTTACCTTTTATATGTCAGTGTTTAATTAGTTTTTAATGTGGAATATATTCCTTCTTGGTTAATACACTCCTTAATTTGTCACTTCTTTTTAGATACGCCAGTGACCACTGGGTTACTGCCTTTGTTCTATACTTAGTCTAAGCATAAGTAGGAACTTGGTATTTTAGTGTTTCTCAAACTAAGCCCATTGGAAATTCTCGAGAGCAAGGGGAATGTCTGCGAGAATTTCCCCTCCTAAACAGGAGCCCTTGCATCATTTGAGTCCAAGAAATGCTACTGAAAAATTCTCCAAAAGTGAATCCTTTCAGCGTGTGATGTTTTGAGCAGCGAGAAACTATATTTGCATGTTGCAAAATGTTGTTTTTCATTTTACTGAATCCATTGGTTTTTCTCCCTTTGACATTTCCGGTCCGTGTCGGCTGAGAAACGCTTAGCAGGAAGACCACATGGCTCTCATTCCCAGTGGGTTCAGTCCAGTGTTTAGTTTGGAAAACTACCTGCAGCGCCTGTGGCCACTGTAGAGACCTCAGGGAGGGGGCGTGAGGCACAGGCATGAAATTAGGGAGAGCAAGTGGTGGGAGGCCACGAGGGAGCGTATTTACCTACGGCAGAGAGAACATTCTGGAAACTGTGCTGATGGCAGCCGGGAGGCCCAGAATCGCCGTGTTGTCAGCACTGGTGTTATTTCTGAATGAGTCTTGAATCCAGTGGATTTGATCCTTGTGTAACTGGGAGTAGCAGATTGGAAACTAATTCCAAACACCAGAGAGAGCAACCTCCGAATGGACCATTGTTTTAGAGAGCTGACGCACAGGCGGTCACTTGCAGTGACCCACGCCGACGTGGGCAGCTCAGTTCCCTCCCGTGACACGGTTTCCTTCTGGTCTGGGATTGCTTCCTGCAGCGTCTTTTTCTCTGACGATGCGCCTTCCTAGTAACGCCTGTGCTCCAGGGGACAGGCGGAAGGGACGCTGAGTTTGGAGGAGGGTGAAAGACGCCTGCCCCAGCCAAGTGAGGTCACCTTTGGAAATTTTCATCAGGAGAACATTTCTTGGTGGTAGAAACTCATGCATACTAATAATGGCTAAAATTTATTATCGAATGCCAGTTGTGCCTCTGGCATACGCTGTCTCCAATCTTTGCAACAAGCCCTGAGAGGCTTGTGTCGTCCCCATTTTGTGATGAGAAGACTGAGACTTGGCAACGCTAACTGATGCGGCCAAGGTGCTGTAAAGCCAGCACGTAGGGGACGCGAGACCACGTCCTGAAGGGCCCTGTGCGAATGAACCCCCGTCACCTGGGGAAAAGAGGACCTGTTGGCATCTGGTGGCTTCTTCTCCAAGGAAAGGAGAAGCTCTAAGAAGACAACGCTGGAAGTACATCGTTGGTTGTCAGGGTTTTGCCTCCCATCAGATTTCATGCTAATTTCTTCCTAAGTTATTTTACTTCCCTTTCACCCAGTCTAGGTTTGGGAGAGACAGGCCTTCGAGTAGCAGCTTGCTGACGGCCTAGGGTACAAGCTAGCGTCATAGTCATGTGATAACAGCACTTTCAGAGGGGTACAGGTGACTGCATGAAAAGTTCAGGATGGTGGCCCTGGCGCCTTCGGTCCCACTTTGCCGTGCTCACTGGCTTGCCACGTTTGCACTGGCGACGCCTCTTAGCCTCTGAGCTACTGTAATGGACCTGTGCAGAGTCGGAGCTAAACCGAATGTGGATTCAAGGATTATCTCTATCTTTTAATAAGTGTGTGATTTTAAAAAATTATGAAGAAAAATTTCAAATGTACACAGAGGTAGAGAAAATGGCGTAACAAACCCCTTCTGTGGCCATCATTCAACTAGTGTTAACCAGATTTTATTAGAAATTTTTTTTGTTGTTGTTTTAATTTTAGAGACAGAGTTTTGCTCTGTCACCCAGGCTCGCGTGCGGTGGCATGATCATAGCTCACTGCAGCCTCCAACTCCTGGGCTCAGGAGGTCCTCCAGCCTTGGCCTCTCGAGTAGCTGGGACTACAGGCATGCACCGTTAAATGTTGCTAATTTTTAGAATTTTTCTGTGGAGATGGGGTCTTGCTGTGTTGCCCAGGCTGGTCTCGAAATCCTGGCCTCAAGTGATCCTCCTGCCTTGGCCTCTCAAAGTGCTGGGATTCCAGGCCTGACCAAACTTTTTTAATCTTTCTATTTCTTCTTTAAGATTGGGATAGTGGTGTTCCCCTCAAGGAACTACCATGAAAATTAAATTACAATTAATGTTCCACAATGATACCTAACACTTTTTGTGCTGCAGTGACCAGGCACGATGATGTGTGGTTCCTATGAGGCGTAGGTATCATTTTTATCCCCATTTTACAGAAGAGAAAACTGAGGCTCGCTGATGTTGAATAACACACTTAGGATCACAGAACCACAAACCACCGCAAATCAGCATTTAAATCTCATTTTATTTAACTCTAGAGCCTTAAAGAGGGCTTTTACAAACCATGAAAAGGCTATGCACATTTCCTCCCATCCCTACCCTATTTTCTTTAAAAAAGTATTTAGCTTCTGGCGTAGTCTGTCCCTAAGCAAATGCCCATTAATTCCTCAAAGAAAAAGTGCATTTTAAGCCAAAAAGGTCAAGAAAGCAAGGGCAAAGTGGATTGGCTTCTGGGACTCCGTGGCTGGTTGTCGTGTGGTCTCCGGGTGCACTCGGGAATTTGCTCATTTCCGTGGTTCTCGTATCAGCTGGTGACATTTGTGTAGCATCGCTGCAGAGGAGTAGAAACCGTTGTTTCCGCTTTGTGACCGGTCTTTCTCTTCGATGGGCAGCATGCTGCAGACTTGGAGAAGAAGCAGAACGAGACAGAAAACAGGAAATTGCTGGGGACCGTCATCCAGTACGGCAACGTGATCCAGGTAAGTCGAGGCAGCTGTTGGGAACCTTCTCCAGCCGCTGGGTTATGACACAGAGTGTGGAACTGAGAAAACACACACCCGAGGCGGGGCTTGGGCACCTGTACGTGGCGACGGCCGGTTGATTGCTAGTGTTTCTTGTTATATATGATGGACCCTTGGGCTATGGGGTTGGTCACATCTCAGTGTCAGAACCTATGAAATACTTCACTCTCCCTGTGGCTGATGATTTAAGGTGTGTCTAGATATTTCCCATGGGAAGCTCCCCACCTGAAAAGGAACCTGGCTGTGGAACCTTTGTTGAACTTGAATTGCTTGAAAGTTCTTTGTATTTGCTTAAGAACTGGCTTCCCTGTAACTTTTATCTGTTGGTCAATGGCTGCTTATCAGAGGCAATAAGAGCAATTTTCTTACCTTCAGAATTTTTTCAGTAGAAAATACTTATCATTTGGGAACGTTTTCTATTTATGAAAAATATGATTGTCGTCTCATGCCTCGTTTCATGGTTGTAAGGTTATCTTTCGTGCCCTTAAACTTTGCGTGGGGCTAAAACACAGTCCAGGAAACAGCTGCTGTAGGTTTTGCTCTATAGATCCTTCTGGGTCTGTCCTAGTCTTGAAGAAAACTGGGTGAGGAAGCCCAGTGCCAAATGTGCCCTTCTCCAATTTGTTCTGTTATTGGATCATTTTGACCCAGGCAGAAAAGGGTGGCAGTTAGCGACTTTTGAGCACTTGGACCCATTGAGTTACTTATCTTCATTATTTTTCTTTCTGAAAGATTTTGCTTACTATGTAAACCTTCCTAATGACAAAGGAATCCCTTCCCATTTTGGTTGCTGTTAGGTATAGAGAAGTACTAATCAGGAGGATTGGAGGACTAGTTATTAAAAAAAATTGGTAAAAAGCAACCTTTTGGGGTTATTTATGTTAGGCCTTTGGAAAATAGTAGAAGTAGCTTCTGAACTCATCTGAAGGTTGGTTCTTGCCCGTCCCACTCTTCCTCCTGAAGTTCCATCCACTTGGGAAATGGACGCATGGGGCCAGGTGGGCTCCAGGTTCAGCCTCAGCTCTGGCTGGCCAAGCCGGGCCAGCACCCTGAGGGTCAAGACTCTCTGATTGAGCCAGATCGGAGAATGTGGCTTGAGGGTGAAGACGAGAGGAGGCGGCACACGGGCCTGAGGCCATGAACTCTTCGATGCGTTCTCATTTGGGTTTCGTGACTCGCTGCGAGATTTGGGGCCGGAAACCTTGCCGCGTCTGTTTGCTCACCAGCACGGTGGAAATGCTGGTGGCATCTGCTTGCTGGCACAGTCGAGAGGCTCCTGTCACAGAGGAAGCTGTGGCCACTTAGTGACTAATCTTAATTATTACGAGTTCCCCAAAACCTGGACCTCGGGATCCCCCCGTAGATAACTGGTTTATAAACCGAGTCTAGCACCTGGGCAGGTGCCTGCAGGCCCAGGGGACCAGTGGGGCCTTGGGAAGACATTACCTTCCCCTTGTTCATCTTGGCTCAGGCTGTCAGGGGGCTCACAAATCAGAACGGTTGCTCCTGCACTCCGAACAACACTGTTAGAAAATTTAGGGACCTCCTGGGAGTATTCCAGCAAGTGTATGTGTCCGCATGTCACAGTGAGGGTGCTGACAGCAACGGAGTCCTGTGCAGATCTTACCATTTCCTGAGGGCTGGGGGCAGCCTGCGTGTTTCGTTGCATTTTCTCTCAGAGCCTGTTCAGTTGGGAAGCCTTGGCCGACTCTTCCTGGTCTGGACCAACGATCACACAAGCTGTTTTCCCGTCTAGATCGTCAGTCTTTCCCTGGATCATGTGACCGTCGCCCGAGAATCAAAACCACAGTGCTTGGAAACTTCAAGCCACGTTCCAAATGAAACGACAGTCTCCTCGCGGGGTTGCCGTCTGCATCAGACTGTTTCTGGTGCCCCACGTCATCTTCCTTGGCTGCACATTGGTGTCAGGCACATTGTCCCACAGCCCCTTAGTCCCCGCACACGCGGTTAGGCGGGTCCCCGCTAGCAGATAGCAGGTGCTTCACTGGACCCAGGCAGTGTCCATCTGCTCCAAGCCTATATTTGAGAAAGGGAAAAAGTATTTTTTTTTTTTCTTCTATTCTGCCCTCCACTTCTGCTCCCTTACTCTTCCTCCTTTTCTAATCATTCCAAGCCTCGGGCGACTTTGTGATTCTGTAACATCGCAAGCAGCTCAGTGCGGGAGGAATGCTTGTTCCGTACCGCACGTGACCGAGAGAGATGGCAGGGACTCCAGACCTTTGCTGACATTCCCCTCTCCTCTTGGTGGGTTTGCAGCTCCTCCACCTGAAGAGCAATAAGTACCTGACCGTGAACAAGAGGCTCCCGGCTCTGCTGGAGAAGAACGCCATGAGAGTGACCTTGGACGAGGCCGGAAACGAAGGCTCCTGGTTTTACATTCAGCCGTTCTACAAGCTGCGGTCCATCGGGGACAGCGTGAGTGCAGGCCCCGGCCTGGAGGGCGCGGTGCCCTCCCCCAGCCCCAGCTGCGTAGTAGAGTCGGCTTGCGGAAGTTCAGGCCGGGCGTGGGGCTCAGGCCTGTCATCCCAGCGCTCCGGGAGGCCGAGGCGGGAGGATTGCTCAAGGTCAAGAGTTTGAAACCAGCCTGAGCAAGAGCAAGACCCTATGTCTGCTAAAAATAGAAAGAAATTAGCCTGATGACTAAAAAATATGTAGAGAAAATTAGCCGGGCATGGTGGCGCGTGCCTGTAGTCCCAGCTACTCGGGAGGCTGAGGCAGGAGGATCGCTTGAGCCCAGGAGTGTGAGGTGCTGTGAGCTAGGCTGACACCACGGCACTCACTCTAGCCTGGGCAACAGAGTGAGACTCTGTCTCAAAAAAAAAAAAAAAAAAAAAAGAAGAAGGAAAAAAAAAAAGCCCCAGGAATTCTTTTCAGGGCAACTTGCAGCAGTTCTGATATTTGTTAGCGAAATTAGCCAGCCATTACGTGGGCATATACTCAACATTGAATATGTTTAAATGCACTCAGCTGTATTTCTGACCTTGTTAAAGATTCTAACATAGTTGCTTTTTTTATGAAGAAGAAATATGTGCCTGAAACAGCATGGAATCTTCTCAAAATGCTCAGCAAGGCTTAACCTAAAACTAGGTTTGGACTTGTTTTTAAATAGAGCCATTTAAGTTTACAAGAGCTGGGCAGTTTCAATATGTTTGTGTATTTGTATGTGGATTGCAGTGTGTGTAATACACCAGAAGCACCGAGTACCTAGCACCCAGCACCCAGCCACAACTGCTGGTTCTTAACTGAGCAGAGAAGGAAAAGTCCAGTAAAATTTAGGTGTAACCACAAGTGTTGGATTTCTTTTTTTTAAAATTTTAACTTTAAAAAAACATTGTTACATTTATTTACTTTTTAAAATTTACTTTATTTTTCCTACACTTAATTCAAAGGATTCGGATAATGTTTTTAAAACTATAGGTATTGACTGAGGAATAAGTCAGTTGAAATAAATTTAGCAGCTTGTGACCATCATTATAGAAGGTGGAATAGAATAGACAGTGTCATTCTGTGTTACACATGGCGCTAAGTGTAGTGTTGGGTAGGGGGAGCTTTCTTCCCAGTAATATACATATGCATATGTGTCTATATGGCTTGCTCATAGTAGAAAATATATTTCTTTATGTGAATTGTAAAACTATGAAAGTCATTGCCTTAGAAACATGAAATCATGGCTTTATCCTTTCACTCTCTTTTTTTTTTTTTTGGAGACTGAGTCCCATTCTGTTGCCCAGGCTAGAATGCCGTGGCGTCAGCCTAGCTCACAGCAACCTCCAACTCCTGGGCTCAGGCGATCCTCCTGCCTCAGCCTCCAGAGTAGCTGGGACTACAGGCATGCGCCACCATGCCCGGCTCATTTTTTCTATATATTTTTAGTTGGCCAACTAATTTCTTTCTCTAGTTCTTTAGTAGAGACGGGTCACCTCTTGCTTGGCTGGTTTGAGAACCCTGACCTTGAGCAATCTGCCCACCTCCGGCCTCCAGAGTGCTAGGATGACAGGTGTGACCACCGCGCCGGCCGGCTTTATTCTTCATAGATTAAAATTTACCTTAGACAATATCCTGTTTTTTCTAAATTTAGTTAAGCTTATATTTATATAGGTCCCTCAGCTGAGCCTAACAGAGGTAAGATTTGTTCTTGCTGCTCGACTGACTTTGAGACATCTCTGTGAATCGTGACAGTCATAGAACAAAATGCAGCCTCAGCCCCGTAAACATGACCCTGTGTGCCCAGGGCCAGGATATTTTGTTTTCTTTTTTTTTGGAAACAGTCTCTCTCTGTTGCCTGGGCTAGAGTGAGTGCCGTGGCGTCAGCCTCGCTCACAGCAACTCCAACTCCTGGGCTCAAGCGATCCTCCGCCTCAGCCTCCGAGTAGCTGGGACTATAGCATGCGCCACCATGCCGGCTCATTTTTTTCTATATATTTTAGTTGGCCAGTTAATTCTTTCTTTTTTTTTTTTTTTTTTTAAAGAGACAGGTCTCGCTCTTATTCAGGCTGGTCTGGACCTCCTGAGCTCAAACGATCCTCGCCTCGGCCCCTGAGTGCTAGGGTTACAGGCGTGAGCCACCGCGCCGGCCTCAGGCCAGGTTTGAAAACCGCGTGGTGTTACGCTGTGTCTTTCTCCGTGCTGGGCTGGGCGTGCTGCAGTACAGGCTGCTGTGGCTGCTCTGAGACGCACCCAGTGCTCCGTCCGCAGTCCTGCTCGTTACATTGAAA